CAGACAGACAGACAGACAGACAGACAGACAGACAGACAGACAGACAGACAGACAGACAGACAGACATTGTGTGTCTGTGTGAATATGTTCGAGCTTTCAGGAATCCAAACTTTTGGAAACCCATAAATTCAAGTATTGTGATCTTAACAACTAATCAAACGGCTTTAAAAGAGGTAAGATCTAGAGTTGCCACAGACTTTCTACATCCCATAAAGTGAATAGAATTTTGGATAAGTCTTCTTCACTTTCGCTAACGATATCCATACTGTTCTTTCAACTTGAAAAAAAAAATTCATGTTTACGTTCAAAAGCCCTTTTGAAACTACCAGATCACGTAATGGCATAGAGAAGCTCAGGACAAAAAATAGAAACGGAAAAAGAAGTATGTTTGGAATGGTATTACGCCCCTTGAAAAACAGTGAATAGTAACACATTAGTTTAGTAGAGGTTTTACGGCGCTCGCAACTGCATAAGGTCATTTGAGCGCCAAAAGATTAGAGGTGTTAAAAGAGAGTAACAAACATAAAAAAGACGAAGGGGAGATGAGGATGATAGATGTTTGATAGGAAAGAAGAAGCAAACCACACCAGAGCACCCGCCAACCACCCACATAGCAATACATGTACGATGCAAGACTTCCGATTGATTTTCCATCTACAAGAATATCTGAAAACTTCCAAAACGTCCTCAGTCCAAAAATACTGCACAGAAGATTCGATCCACAACCCTCGTCATTGTAGCCCACTGCGTTAAACAAAAAGGGAGAAAAGAAGTAAACAATAAACGACCACCTACTAGCCGCCCAAAAGCTCTTACATGACTTCTTGCACAACTGATAATGGTGTTAAGCCAGCCTCTTTTTTTTCTCTCTATACAAGGACTCTTGCATTAGACGGAGGTCCAAACTGCAGTATCAAATTAAGTAGAAAGTACACTCGTCAGTTCTTGAAGAGTTAATGTAATGGTCCTCATGCATTCAGAATTACAGAGTCGGGCTGAATTTGACGCTGCTTCAGATGAGTAAAGATTCGATTTGGTCGTTTGAAGGGGGAAAGGCGGGAAGGGGGGGGGGGGTTTCAAGTTGTTTTACTTTCTATATTTATTTTGGCTCTGTTTTGTGGGGAGGGGGAGTTTATTTGTGTGTTTGTTTGTTTGCTTGTTTGGGGGGGTTGGGGTTTTTTGGGGGGGGTTTTTTGGGGGGGGGGGGTTTTGGGGGGGGTGTTTGTTTGCTTGCTTGGGGGGGGGGCAAATTACATGCAAATTATATCTTCCTCTGTAAGAGACAACAGCTGTTGTTTATACTAAGACTCGATAACTAAATCTCGCATACACGAAAGGTGGAGTGGTCTGTCTATTTTGAATAAACATCAAAAGTCTGTAAAAATCACACCTTGAATTATTATTCTTTTCAAGAAAAAAGTGCCTGATAAACGGTCAAAATGTTCTTGCTTCACATATTTGACAATAATGTTATGCATGACAAAGAATAAGCTTACAGGTTTAAAAAAGATGCATAATGTTTCGACGCGTCAAAGGTCAAAATTGGGGTTGGAGGGCACCACTGGTAGGTTCTATTTCTTTTCCTTCCCTCTGCTGTTTCTGTCTATCTGTTTCGCCTTTACCCTGCACTAAATGGCCGTTATCGTGTCGATGTGCTTCTCTTTACAAAAAAAAATAAAAAGATCCAAAATAATATACTCTCATCGATTCAGTTAGATAGATGCATGTGAATTGACCACACTGATTATCTTATTGGGGACATACGAGAACAATGGCTATTCGAGTCCGACTCGTTGAACCAACTCGCACCCTGCTTACGGTATTTCCCATCCGGATCCGGCGTTGCGAAAGCGCCAGAAAACAAAGCTCTTTGAGGTGACACGCGAGAGGGGGCAAGTCCCAGCCGATAGAAATGAAGTTATTATAAAACTTAATAGCCGCATTGTCAGAGATACCCACAGGCGGAGAGACCCGAGGTTTTCCAAGAGCTCCGACTTTGGGCTGACCTTTTCTGTGCCGGGGCATTCTGCTACACCGCGCCTCTGGGTTTTTGCGTCGTTTGGTCCTCCGTTTAGGGCGGCTGAGGGGGCGTGATAGAGAGTTGGGCGACACCAAAGGGGACTTAGCGGGAGAGACCACAAGGGTAGGAGAGAGGATGGAGGAGATTTGATAGTGTTGTGCAGGAGGTGTTGATCGAGGCGTGGGAGTGAAGGAAGGTACAGAGAACGTATTTGGTGGACAAGACAGGAGGATGATGAAGAAGAAGAAGGAGGAGGAGGATGAAAGGAAGAGTGAGGGAGGGAGAGAGGTGGGGTGGGGGAGAAAGTGAGAAGAGACACAGAGAGAGAGAGAGAGA